TTTTATAAAAAAAAAATAAGCCAATAAAAACCAATTAAAAAAAAATAAGCCAATAAAAACCAATTATAAAAAAAAAATAAGCCAATAAAAACCAATTATAAAAAAAATAAGCCAATAAAAACCAATTATATTTTGCATTATTATTGTTGTGCTTATAAACAATATTGCATTTACACTAAATAACTTCTTATTACTTTCAGATCTTAATACTAAAATTGTTCTAGGCGGAAAATGTGAGTATTTTATTTGTGTTAATGAGCGTAAAAATGATGCTGAAATAGCAATTCTTCCACTAATGGTATCATGTGAAACTAGTACAGATATAGATCATAATCACTAATTTGAATCTTTTCACAATCAATCAAAATCTTTTTCTTTGCAGAAGTTTTCAACAAATAAGAAAAAGTATTAAACATTCTTGCACAAAGATAGCTAAGCAAAGGAAATTGACGCATTGTACAATCCACCTATAACAATCCACCTATAACAAAAAGAAAAGTTTCATCAACTGCAATTAACAATTTAGTACCCATGACGCAAAAATAACGTTGAACAATTTTGGCCTTAGGAAGCTTGTTGTTTCTAGTGGAGTAGTTAACCAAAAACAACTTACTTTTCACACTCAAAACTGAAACAACTACAGAGGAAATTTCATATTGGGTATATATTGTCTACTACAAAATTCAAAATATTTAAATCATTTTAAAAAAACCTTAATTTTTTTTAACATTTGTATCAAATTTACTAGTAACTATAAAATGTTAGAAATCGCCCGAATTATATGAGTGAAAGGAAAATAAAAAATCTGTCAAATTTTGTTTTTATAAAAAATTAACAGAAGAAAACAAAAATCTATTGTCTTTGTTTGATGCTGAGCTTATGCTGAGATAATAAACAGAATACTGGTGATAATAAAAAGTGGTATTACTAAATATATATATATATATATATATATATATATATATATATATATATATATATATATATATATACATATATATATATACATATATATATATATATATATATATATATATATATATTATATATATTTATATATATATATATATATATATATATATATATATATATATATATATATATATATATATATATATATATATATATATATAGATTTAGTCTAAATATACATACATATATATATATATATATATATATATATATATATATATATATATATATATATATATATATATATATATATGATAATAATATATATATATATATATATATATATATAATATATATATATATATATATATATATATATATATATATGGTAATAAAAAAGTGGTATTATTAAATATATATATATATATATATATATATATATAATATATATATATATATATATATATATATAGATTTAGTCTAAATATACATATATATATATATATATATATATATATATATATATATGATAATAAAAAATATATATATATATATATATATATATATATATATATATATATATATATATATATATATATATATATATATATATATATATATGATAATAAAATATATATATATATATATATATATATATGATAATAAAAAAGTGGTATTACTAAATATATATATATATATATATATATATATATATATATATATATATATATATATATATATATATGCTTACATATACTTAAACTAGCTTCACTAAAAAGCTTAATCAAAATAATATATTTTAACAAAAATAAAAAAAAAGTAGGAAACAATATTGGCGCAATATTGTTTCAACAGCTTTACAACATAGACCTCTTGAATCAGTGTATCTTGATGTTAAGATTGGGGTGGATGGAGGGCAAGGATATCTAAAGAATACTTTATCAATTGCATTAAAGCCAGAGCTAGAAACACATTCAAGTGAAAAAAAAAGAGTGAAATATTCTGATGAGTATGGATGTAAAGATTTCAAATACACTAGTGTTCACAAAACTTTAGTTTTGGCGGTATTATCCTCTGTTGATGAAAAAAGATAGATAACTTTTAAAAAGTGATAAATTAGCCGATGTTCTAACTAGAAAGCGCAAATTGTTATCAAAAGTTATTTCTAAATACGTTCCTCTAAGCGTCAATCCAATAGGTCAAACAACCAAACATATTATATACAACTATTTGACCACTTGAAGGGTCTTAGGGTGAGTTAGAGGGGCCTTAATCTCTGGTTAAAACAAGTCTTATGAATTAGTTTTCTGAAAAAGCTACCAAAAAATAATTTAACTTTTGATAGTTTGGAATGTGTACATGGAATACTTTCAAAATCAAAAGAATAATTTCATGGTTTATGATATAAGGTCTTAGGTTACCTTCAGGGTACCCGTGTGTACATATAGTGTTTGTCTTTTAAAATTAACATAATAAACTTCTATTGAATCTTAAAAAACAAAAATGTTTAAATTATACAGATACTAAATTCTTACCTATCAAAACTTTTAGGAACCCCTTCAGCAAATCTAGCTGTACACCCAAAAGTGCTGCACGAATTAACCATTTTAAAAAAATTACTAAATCTTTAAATATATTGTACATAAATATATACGTGTATTATAGATAAAAAATATTATACATAAATATTGATGTATAATTTTATATTCAATATTAGTCTCTTAAAGCTTCATATAAATCTTGCATTATACAACCATATACAAGTTAATTAGGTAGTTTATGGCATATTATTTTAATAAAATTATTATTTGTATTGCAATATTTGAAATGCCTTTTTTTTTTTTTTTTTTTTGGGGGGGGGGGGGGTATTCATAGTTGACTTCATATTAAAAGATTTAAAAATCTTTTAATATGAAGTCAACTAAGATTTATTTTATTTAGTTCATCTGTAATTAAAATATATATAAACCATGAAATTCCTTTGAAGTTATTGTTTTATGCAATGCAAAATATAACTTGAAATTAAATTATAAATATTGTTCAATATATACGCTGATTAAAATTTTTTTTTCTGCCTCTGCGTCATCAAGATAAAGTTTGCCCAGCTTCAATTATTTCTGCCTATGCCGTATCCAGTAATTTATATATCTATGGTTTCTCCTTATCTTAAAAATTAACTACAATAAAATATATTATTTATGTAACGAAAAAAAAATTATAGTATTTCTTAAAATAATATAGATATTGATAAAACGTACCGTAGAACGGGTATCAAAGTCACCCCGTTCTACGGTATATTTTCGCGTATCAAAGTCACCACGTTCTACGGTATATTTTCAAAAATAAAAAGTTGGCTTTTATAAAAACTACTCCAGAAATGACTGATCTAAAACAAATGTAAATAATGAAAATATAACTACATGCAATGAAAACAACTTTCAATCTTCACAGCTTACTTGCAATGTTACTTAACAACATAAAGGAAACTGCAACAGACATAAACGTTAGCATTCATAGTACATACCCTACTGATCCTAATAAATATATAAATTATAAAAATGTTAAGTAAAAAAAAAGATGCATAGCTAAACATAAAAAAAGCAAAATAACTTTAAGCGTTATAAAGCGTATATTGTGAAAAGAAGTTTGATTGGTATGAGAAAATACGATTAGTATAAAAAAATTGTAAGAGAACTTAATGAAAGTGATTTATTTAATAATAGTTAAAAAAAATCTACATCATGGTCACCGTAAAAAACAGTTGCTTTTATGAAACCAATCTTTATTTAACACTATACTATGTGGTTACAGAAAATTTTACAGAAAATTTAAAATATTGTACTGATGTCTTTGTACTGATGTCTACGTCTTAGTACTGATGTTTTTGTTGCTCCAAACTTATTACTTGAAATAAAAACCACAGAAGAAAATTCAATATATCTGCCTATTTTATTCAAACATAAATTTAAGTGGTACTTACATAATCAAACTACTCGATCTAGCGAAACGTAAAATGGACAGTATCCTTTCAAACAAACTGATATCAAAGTATTTGCAACTTGAAAAAAATTTTTTTTGACCTTTGAAAGTATTAAACCACTATGTACCTATATTATTAAATTGATATGAGTGGGTCAGAAGCCAAGGGTTACAAGTGACATTTTCATAGTTTTGAGATACAGCTGTTTAAAGTTAAAGTATTTTTGTTAAATATACTCAGCTGTTGTTATGTTTTTCCAGTAGAAAGCAGCACAGGGCAGAGATTCACTTGTATCCCTTGGCCACCAACAATTTTGTTTGCTTCTTCTATCAAATTCTATACTTAACTTAATTTTGGTAAAATTGTCACTTGTACCCCTTGGCTTCCGACCCACTCATATGTTAACCGTTTATGGTAAGTTTTGATACCTAATAACGAACGACAACATTTAAAAACTAATAAAGATTGTTTTAGTTTTTTGACTCTATATTTGTATGTGTTTTGTTTGTTTTTGACTCTATATTAGTATGTGTTTTGTTTGTTTTTGACTCTATATTTGTTTGTGTTCTGTTTGCTTTGCTTTGAAAAATGTTTTTATATTTAAAAAAAAATTTTGTCCAAAAAAAGAAATTTAAAATTATTTTAAGATGATTTAATAGTTCCATTTATGATTCAATTAAATGTGTGAAGTTTGTTGTGAACTGATAAAATTTGCTATATTATTAATGTAACTTTTATATTAAAATTATCACCAAAGATTTATTACAAGTATAGATATATTTATATATTAGATATAATAAAGATAATATTTGGGCTAAATTTATAATAATAATGTATAGGTCTAAAGAGGGCTTACTCTCTCTGGCATATCTATAACATAAAAAAATATTTTTGCTTTTTTTAGAACAACTGAGAATATATTTATATTCTATAAGTATTTCTTCTATTAACAACAGTTTTACAAAATATATAAAATGCACTATGAAATACTAAACAAAATTAAAAAATGCATGACGAACCCACTTGCTATGACAGTACAAAATAAAAAAATGCAGTAAACAATATATGAAACTTTACATAATACTGCATGCAAAACAAACATGGCGCGTTAATTTAATGATTAATTATATTTCTTTTTTAATTTACATTTTTGTGTGGAAAAACTCGACATAAATTAGCCTATAAAAATGTTCCTGCACACGAGAATGATAACATTTACAAATTGTTTTTTGTTGTTGTCGAAATCTTATGATACTTTTTTTCTTGTAGGAATTTGAGGCGGAGGAGTATTCTCATTGATTTCCTAAAAAAAGAAATTTTATTTCATAACTATGCCACATACTTTTTTAGTTTTTACATTTGATTATTATAAGTCAATATTTCATTATTGTATTTCGAAAATATACAATCTTTCTAATCTCAAAATAGAAACACAAAAACATCGATCAAAATAATGACATTTTTAAATCTTTAGAACTTCAGATTTGTTGATTATATATATATATATATATATATATATATATATATATATATATATATATATATATATATATATATATATATATATATATATATATATATATATATATATATATATATATATATATATATATATATATATATATAAACAAGACAAATTTTTTAATTTTTAAAACTGTGAAAATAAAATACATGTTGCACATACGAATTTACATCCTGTACATTCGAATTTATACACCACGAACAATTTCAACTCTAGAAGAATAGAATCTTCAGAAGAATTTTTCAGTGAGTTAAATACTAATATAATATTAGCTGAACGGCAATATCTTTTAGCAATTGAATTCAGTTTTTTTTTTAGTTGAACCAGATATTTTTCCCAAAATCGGCAGTTTAAAATAAGACAAAGATTCTTTTTGATAATTATAATTCAATGTTTCGTTATTGTATTTCGAAAATATACGATCTTTATAATCTCAAGATCGAAACATATATAATATAATATATATATATATACACAGGGCCGCCGAGAGCTCTCACGCCATCTGGGACAGCAATCCTGACTCGCGCCCTTATTTATCAAAATTTCCTTATATTTCTTTACATATATATATATATATATGAAGGACCTTTTTTTTTTTTTTCAAGGTACCTACATTTTATTTGGCGCCCCTTGGACATCTGCCGCCCAGGACAAACTGTCCCGGTGGCCCTGTATGTATATATATACATATATATTAATTAGGGTGATTCAAAAAAAAGGTCATGTCTGTAAAAAAAAAGAGCCCTAGTTTATCATCCATGACCATGATTTAGTACTCAAGAATTTTTTTTTTTTTTTTTTTTTGAAAATCCTTTAGGTCCCTTATAAAAGGGGGTAAAAAAGCGAGTTTTTGAACGTTTTGTACCATTTTTAGGACCGTTTGTAGGAAATCTTGATTTTTTTTTTTACATATCTTTTGTTTGTTAAGACTTATTTAAACTGAATATTACGCAAAATCTTTTTTACGTGAACGGACGTACTTTTGTAAACTAAATTAAAAATGGCTAAATTTACTGTTTCTCAAATTAAAGACCTATTAGATATTCATGAGAATACTTTATTGAAAATAGTTAAAGAGAAGTTTGATAAAATGGAAATTAAGCTATTAAATCTTCAATAAGAAAATATAAAACTAAAAAAAGAAACTAGTGAACTAAAGAAATCGGCAGAGTTTGCTTAGCGAGAAATATGAATTAATTGTTCAAAAACTTTCTGAAATAAAAAAAAAAGCCAAATTTAACATCAAACCATATCACAAACGTTGTTGTTAAAGATAAACTAGCTGAGTTGGAAGACAGGAGCAGAAGAAATAATCTAAGGTTTACGGAAATTGAAGAAGACGAAAATGAAATGTGGGAATTGAACAGGAAAAGATTCAAAATATTTTAAAGACAAAACTTGGATTTAAAGGTAATGTTGAAATTGAACGGGCGCACAAGGCGGGGAAAAAGAGTAGCGACGGAAAAAAGTACAACAGAACCATAAAGATTAAATTTTTAAACTACAAAGACAAAAAAACTGCATCGGATAACTACGTTCAGTTAAAATTGTGGAACAATCGATTTTACGTAAATAAAGACTACAGCGAAAGAACTTTGGAATTGCGAAAACAGTTATTTAAAGAACAAAGGGTCCGATCCGGATCAAACTTATTTTAGTAAAACAGATGCTTTACAAAGCATCTGCAGCTATTTTTATAATTTGAAATTAAAAGAATTTTTTGAGCGTGATGGATTTAATACAATTCATATAAATATAAGAATTTAAAAAAAAAATTGAAAATCTTTGCAATAGTTTTAAATCGAACTATTATTTGTTTAATATGCCTAACTGAAACTTTGTAGTTTTGATGACTCAAATTTAGATAATAATTTTATATTTTTATTATATATTTCATTAGGACAGAAAACAAATATACGCGGCAGTGGTTTAATTATTTATGTAAAAGAAAAACTACGGTATTATATTAGGCATGACATGAGTATTTCTGACGCCAAATAAAGAGGTTTTAACGATTGAAATATTTCAGGACACCGTCCTGCTTTTATATATAGTTAGAAGAGGTGAATTAGTGGGATTGAAGCATATGAAGAAAATGATAAGTATCTTTGATAAATGAGGGGAGAGATTCTGCCAATGGTTGTATAAAGTGTGTGATGAACTTAGATAAATGGTCCGTTGGGCAATTACATGCTGAAACAATAGGTCGTAACGGTATACCCTCTTTGTGAGTTTTCGGTAATCTGTAAAAAATAGGGTAGCGACAGGGTGTATCAGCCCGTAAAAAGTTTGCTGTTGTTTCGTCGATTATGTAGTGGACAGCCATGTAGTCTATTAGAGTGTTAATATCATTTATTATTTTTGCCATTGGATTATTGCGCAGGAGTTTGTAAATATTAGAATCATTTAATAGTTGGTTTATTTTATTCTCATACTGTCCCTTATCTAAAATACAAACCCCACCACCTTTATCTGCTCTTTTGAATATGATATCCTAATTGTTATGTAGTCTCTCCAATGCTATAGACTCTACGGATGAAAGATTGTTTGTAATTTTGGGTTTGGATTTTTTCATAATTGCCTCAATGTCTCGATCAATCTGTAAAAAAAATTTATTTATGGTTTGGTTATTTATTTTTGCTCAGAATATGCTCTGCATTATTATGTCTTGGCATTAGCCCATACTTATGTTTATTATGCTCATGTTTATTATGTAAAGGCATTAGGCCAAGGACTATCATGAAGAAAATCACTATGTGATTTTCTCCATGACAGCCCATGGGCTAATGCCTTTTCCCTCTCTTAGCTAAATAATGTGCCTACTATGTAATCTCCTGGATTCATGCAGGAATGGAAGCCTTTATTCCTTCTTGTTGGTTCCAAGTCAAGCCTCATTCTACTCCATGGTTTTCACCCACTTGTACAGCTGCTACATCCAATTGTAACCATTTTTTTCATCTTTTTCAAAAGAACAACTCTCTTGAGAACAAACGACTATTTATTATTGCAAGACATCTATGTAAATAGGTGTTATAAGATGCTAAGCTCTATTATTCTCAGTTCACTAAATCTCGTATTTTATCTCAGAAGTTAGACTCTAGAAACTTTTGGAAAATCTACAACAGCATCGTTAACAAAGGTAGGTCTAACATTCATGATCTTATTACCTTTCCCAAGAATAAGGCAGAACTATTTGCAAAGAATTTTTTTCTAATTTGACTCTCGAATCTAATGGCCATTATCTTCCTTCCATTTCAATTAAACAAGTTAACTCATTTTTAGACATTCAAATCATTCTAGCTTCGATTGCTAAAGTCATATCTCGATTAAACTCTTCTATGGCTTGTGGTCCAGTCAACATGATTGTCATAGTCTTACAAAATCATTCTCCAGAACCCTCTTCAATTCTCTCTAAACCAGGCCTCGGCAAGTAAATGCATGCGAGAGCGGAGAAAAGTGCTCCTAAAACAAATATGGCAAGCTATGCAAGCTGGTCCTCTCAACCACTCCTTACAAGAGCTTCTGGTTTTTGCACAAGCTGTTTATTTATTAAAAAAAAACTGCTTATTAAATATAAAACTTGAAACTTGTTACAAGTTTATAATTAGTAACATTATTGTTAAAAGAATAAGGGTCATTTTTTGCGCCATTAAAAAATTCTTTAGACGAGCGTTGGGTTTTCACACAAGCTATTCATTTATTTATTAACATTACTTATTTGATATTTATTTATTAACATTACTTATTTGATATTTATTTATTAACATTACTTATTTGATATTTATTTATTAACATTACTTATTTGATATTTATTTATTAACATTACTTATTTGATATTTATTTATTAACATTACTTATTTGATATTTATTTATTAACATTACTTACTTGATAAAAAATTTGACAAAGAGCTATAAAAGTTTTTACTGCTTATAAAAAAAAGTTTTTTTAATTTTTTGTAAGCAGTAATGTTTTGCCATTTTAAAAATTATTACAATTAAAAATTCCACAATAAAAGTGAATAATACATTAAAGTAATTAACATATAAAATATATAATTTATTACATAAAATAAAAATTATTATGCAATAATTTAGAATATAATAACTTTATATTTTATAAGTTTAATAATTATATATTTTATCAATATAATTTAGAGTGTAATATTTTTATATCTATCAGTTAGTCCATTCTAATCAAAAACATTTGCATTTCAGTCGAGGCTTTATTTTATTTATTTTAATTTTTTTTGGAACTGTGCCTTTTAAAAAGCATTGGAATTAATTATGTAATTAATTTTTTTTTATAAAAATGACTTTGTGTTTTTATTTTAGTTACAATGATAATTATACTTTTGAGAAAAAAACTATACTTTTATATGGTTATGATGATCATGGAATGGTTATGATGATCATGGAACCAAGATGATGATCATGGTTAGATCATCATTTTGGATTAAAATTTTAAATGTAGAAATATTTCAAAAAATAGAAATAAGGAAATTGCTTGACAATGTGCCTTAAGAAATACCCCAAAATCTTGTAAATTCAATGTCAAAGAGAGTAAGGTGGTATAACAAAATACTAAAAAAAAAAATTAATTGGCTTTCTGTTTGTATATTGTTGTTTTAATATATTATTTGAAATATATCCTTAACTTTTGACCAATCTTTTTTTAAATTAAGAATATATGTTTCATTGCTTCTCACTTTTTGCTATCAAAATCATTATGTTTAGATTTTTTTTTTGATGCAGAATTTCATAATGCATATGATTTTACATAAAATATTAAAAAAAAATACATTTCAGTTTTCATTTAATTTTATTTTGAATGTTTTATAAAAAAACTAAGTATGCTCTAATTTATGGCCAATGGTGTATATATATATAATATATATATATATATATATATATATATATATATATATATATATATATATATATATATATATATATATATATATATATATATATATATTCAATAAAATAGCTTTTAGTGACAAAACGTTAAATAAGGTAACATTTGGTTATTAAAACTCATGTTACTTGGATTCTGCTTACTTTCTGATTTTTTTTTTTTTTAAACAATATTATTTTCTAAGTTCAAGCTGATAATACTATTAGAATATTAATTAAAATCTTAAAATACTAAACTCCCTACATTTAGAAAGAAAATGGTAAAAGCCATTTTTTAAGAGCTATTATATAAGATATATCTCATATCAAGATTAAGATCTCAAACTAAAAACACTGTAGATTGCAAAATAAAAATGGATAATCAAATAAAGATAATAAAAATAAATATTTTTTATTGTGATTATATGAATTAATTTACCTCATTAACAACTGTTTCTTGTTTAAAAGGGTATATAGTTGATACCAAAGGCTTTGGCCTTCTTTCAGGAACTGGAGGAGTTATATCTGTATTTGAATTCACTGCAGGTAATGGCTTAACTTTCCTAAGGAGAAATATTATATGATGAAATAAATTTTTCGTTTTTAGATTTTTCATTCAGTTGAAAGTTTTTTTTTTCGCAATCTATTTTGCTGAAAAAATAGAAAATAACTATTTTGTTGAACTATATATATAGTTCAACAAAAACTATGCCTATATGTTCAACAAAAACTATGCCTATATGTTCAACAAAAACTTATATGAACATATGAACAGCTTATATGAACAGGATAATATTTTTAAAATTTGAAAACTGAATTTAAATTAAATTGTAATTAGGGATGGCAAAAACCCGAAAATTTTCAATCCCAGGATTTCGGGATTGAGAAATTTGTCCCCGGGAAATCCTGGGATTGATAGAAAAATACGCAAACGCAATTGAATACTTTTTAAGCACTCTTAAATACTTAAAAATGATTAATTTAATGATAATATAACTAAAATATTTAATACATTAATGAACATCTAAAATTAAGTTGAATCATGTTTTAACTTAATTTTATATTAAAACTTATCTAAGACATAAAAATTAATGAACCTAAGTATTATAAATTATAAAACAATACCTTAAAATGGTAACACAGTATAAATAAAAATAAAAATAAAAAAAATATATAAATATGCATGACATCATTAATAAAAAAGACGCTAATAAAATTTTGTAATTTAATCAACTTTTGTTTTTTGATAACTTTATTAATTAAATTAATGTTAAAAAAAGCTTTTGTAAATCAGGCATTTTCCTAAATCACACATTTGAAATGAAAATTAATGGAAATAAAAATAGAACTCGAATCACTCGCATGTTTGGAATTAAAATCAATGGATATAAAAATAGAATTAATATTGCGGAGACTTTTTGAAGCAGAAAATTAAAAATTAAATTAATATATAACTTCTATTAAAAACTCTTTTCACTAGCAAGTGTTATTTGAAGTTAAATTTTATTTATTTTTATAATATACTAGTTTTAATATTATACTATATATAATATATATGCGGTAGTGGTGTAGTGGTAGAGCGCTCGCTTCATAAACGAGTGGTTCCGAGTTCGATCCCCACCACGTCCCTGGAAGTACCGCGCTCAACTCGTTTCTCCGTGCAGCGGCCTTGTTCGTCAAGGTTCGTGTTTCGGAGTTATAGAGTTGAGAGAGGGTTATAGCCACAAACAAGTAGCCTCCTCGTCTGTAGTGGCCTTCTCGGCCTTGAGGAGGTGAATTAAAATTAAAAAAAAAAAAAAAAAAAAAAAAAATATATAATATATATAATATATAATATATAATATAATATATATATATATATATATATATATATATATATATATATATATATATATATATATATATATATATATATATATATATATATATATGTATATATATATATGTATATATATATGTATATATATATATATATATATATATATATATATATATATATATATATATATATATATATATATATATATATGTATATATATATATGTATATATATATGTATATATATATATATATATATATATATATATATATATATATATATATATATATATATATATATATATATATATATATATATATATATATATATATATATATATATATGAATATATATATATTGGAGACAAGCAATGTTTTGAGTTTGTTTTTTTTTAGTAAAATACAGAAAAAGAGAGTTTTAAAATTAAAAAATATTACAAAGAGAATAAACAGCTATTACAGATAAACAGCCAAATGTACAAATTACTTAACTACAATTATAAGTGTTAACTTTATTAACTTTTTTTTTTTTTTGATGATCCTGAAATTCCGGGAGACTTCGAGGCAGTTCCTGAATTGCTAGAATTTCCTATTAGAATTTTCCAGAACTTTTAAGAAACTCTTAAAACTTTCAAGAAATTTTAAAAATTTTTGAGAATGATATTGAACAAAGTCAAACAAGTATAAATCGAGGGGAATCAACATAACATTTTGTGTATTGGTGAATAAAAGAACAACAAATCATATTTGAGAAGCAATAACTTGATTTGAATAACATTTTAAGGTTGCATCCAGCAAATGCATTTTGATACATGCGTGGACAAATTACAAAGACAAGATCTTCAAAAGTATTCTTTGGAAGCAAATCGTAAAATGTTATTTTACTAGGATAATATTTTTAAAATTTGAAAACTGAATTTAAATTAAATTGTAATTAGGGATGGCAAAAACCCGAAAATTTTCAATCCCAGGATTTCGGGATTGAGAAATTTGTCCCCGGGAAATCCTGGGATTGATAGAAAAATACGCAAACGCAATTGAATACTTTTTAAGCACTCTTAAATACTTAAAAATGATTAATTTAATGATAATATAACTAAAATATTTAATACATTAATGAACATCTAAAATTAAGTTGAATCATGTTTTAACTTAATTTTATATTAAAACTTATCTAAGACATAAAAATTAATGAACCTAAGTATTATAAATTATAAAACAATACCTTAAAATGGTAACACAGTATAAATAAAAATAAAAATAAAAAAAATATATAAATATGCATGACATCATTAATAAAAAAGACGCTAATAAAATTTTGTAATTTAATCAACTTTTGTTTTTTGATAACTTTATTAATTAAATTAATGTTAAAAAAAGCTTTTGTAAATCAGGCATTTTCCTAAATCACACATTTGAAATGAAAATTAATGGAAATAAAAATAGAACTCGAATCACTCGCATGTTTGGAATTAAAATCAATGGATATAAAAATAGAATTAATATTGCGGAGACTTTTTGAAGCAGAAAATTAAAAATTAAATTAATATATAACTTCTATTAAAAACTCTTTTCACTAGCAAGTGTTATTTGAAGTTAAATTTTATTTATTTTTATAATATACTAGTTTTAATATTATACTATATATAATATATATGCGGTAGTGGTGTAGTGGTAGAGCGCTCGCTTCATAAACGAGTGGTTCCGAGTTCGATCCCCACCACGTCCCTGGAAGTACCGCGCTCAACTCGTTTCTCCGTGCAGCGGCCTTGTTCGTCAAGGTTCGTGTTTCGGAGTTATAGAGTTGAGAGAGGGTTATAGCCACAAACAAGTAGCCTCCTCGTCTGTAGTGGCCTTCTCGGCCTTGAGGAGGTGAATTAAAATAAAAAAAAAAAAAAAAAAAAAAAAAAATATATAATATATATAATATATAATATATAATATAATATATATATATATATATATATATATATATATATATATATATATATATATATATATATATATATATATATATATATATATATATATATATATATATATGTATATATATATATGTATATATATATATGTATATATATATATATATATATATATATATATATATATATATATATATATATATATATATATATATGTATATATATATATGTATATATATATGTATATATATATATATATATATATATATATATATATATATATATATATATATATATATATATATATATATATATATATATATATATATATATATATATATATGAATATATATATATTGGAGACAAGCAATGTTTTGAGTTTGTTTTTTTTTAGTAAAATACAGAAAAAGAGAGTTTTAAAATTAAAAAATATTACAAAGAGAATAAACAGCTATTACAGATAAACAGCCAAATGTACAAATTACTTAACTACAATTATAAGTGTTAACTTTATTAACTTTTTTTTTTTTTTGATGATCCTGAAATTCCGGGAGACTTCGAGGCAGTTCCTGAATTGCTAGAATTTCCTATTAGAATTTTCCAGAACTTTTAAGAAACTCTTAAAACTTTCAAGAAATTTTAAAAATTTTTGAGAATGATATTGAACAAAGTCAAACAAGTATAAATCGAGGGGAATCAACATAACATTTTGTGTATTGGTGAATAAAAGAACAACAAATCATATTTGAGAAGCAATAACTTGATTTGAATAACATTTTAAGGTTGCATCCAGCAAATGCATTTTGATACATGCGTGGACAAATTACAAAGACAAGATCTTCAAAAGTATTCTTTGGAAGCAAATCGTAAAATGTTATTTTATGACTTGCTTACAAATTTCAGTTTTGCAAAGAGAAAAGAGTACTACAGAAATAATGTAAAAAAATAAAATAAAATAACAAAATGGGACGCAGGATGTCACACATAGTCTATCTCAAAAAACCTTTAAAAAAATGTAGGAACTTAGTCAGAGAAGCAAGGTAAGTGCTTTTGTCAAGGCATATTAAACTTTAAACATTTTTATCAAAGACAGTATAACAAAAATATGATTTTAGAATCTACTATATAAAAGTGATTTACAGTTTATCCCAAATCTACTTGTTTTAGAAACTTTTTGAGCAATTCTTTTATGTTTTTGTTTATTCAATATGCAATTTTTTGTTTCTTACTAAACAGAATGAACAATATGAAAAGTATATATTTTGTCTTATTTGGCTCAGTAAAAGTAAATTTTCTTTGTGTCATGTTCTTAAAATCAAATTTTGAATTCAATATTTTTTAACGGTTTATAGACATAAACAATTGGAAAATATAACACTTTAAATCCAAGGACAATAATTGTTTTACATAATATTATTAACATAGCATATGTATATAAGCAGAGAATGTGTGTATACATGTGTCTCTATATAATATCTAGGTAAAAAAAACTTACCTTTGAGAATGTATATACTTATTTTCAACTTTTTCATAAAAATTTGAAGATGAATCCAAACAAGGATCTACTCGTTTAGGCAAATTTGATTTCTTATTCAAATCATTCTAAATATATATATATATATATATATATATATATATATATATATATATATATATATATATATATATATATATATATATATATATATATATATATATATATAAACTATAAATATATATAATACTAACTCAACTAAAACAGTTTTAATAGATTTTCTTTCAACATCATCAATTCTTGTAGTATTCAGATTTTAAATTAATATCAATTATATAATAACAATTAAATAACAACAATATCAACGACATAAAAAGTGCACAATATCTTACTGGTAAAATAGCTCTTTGCTTAAGTTTATGCTCCATTTCAACATAATGAGCTATAGCCAAATAGATGAATTTGTATTGAGCCTGAGATAAATTTTAAAATAAATGGATATACACAATAACATTAAAAAAAAAAGTATTTTTAAAAAGTCTTCTCCAAAAAAAAAATTTTAAATATTAAAAAAATCAAATTTAAATTATTTTTAATATTAAGGTGATGGTATGATAAACTATTTGTTACGTGCAGGTAGCAGGTAAACTTTTTTTAAACATTAGAGTAACCTCTTCCATTCATAGTAATTTTCTCATAGCAACAATAGATGTTTATTGGTTCCATTTTTAAAACATGAAAAACATTTTATAAATTTAATACCTATTTTTTAAGATAATACCTCTAATTGAACCATTCCAGGTCTTTGTGAACGAACATGTTGCACTGTTTTTTGAATATCAATTTCACAGTCCATACCTTAAGAAATAATAAAAACATTTTGGTATAGAAACTCCGGGTGTAAAGTGTGTATTAAGCATTTACGAATGATTTTAATTAGCATGCCATGGTCTAAAGCTAATAATATATCATTGACATGTGGAAAAAAAGAATGTGCGCAACATTTAAGAGTTTTGTGTGGTCACTTTGAAAAACAAATTATTTTGTGTTGTCTTTTTTGTGTGATCACTTTGATGAAAACAAAATTATTTTGAATTAACAAATACTAACTAGAAAAATTGGTATTCTTTTTTTTTTTTTATTTGTTTTTATCTTGATTGATAGCAGTTGACTATATATATTTACTGAAAATGATAATCCTGAATAAATATTTTCAAATAAATAAATGGTGACAACTTTTTTCAAAATTCATAATGACAAAAAGATGATATCTAAACACTCTTGTTTTTAACATTTTATGTTTTTTACAGTTTACTAAAGTTTTTTTCCTCAAAGATCAATTCTTTAGAATTCACTTCCTTCATCTTGCTTTCCTGATTTATAGGATTTGCAATCTTTTAAGTCATCGGTCAATCGTTATCTTGCTTTATAAACTTCTTTTCTCTTCCAGTAACTTTCAACTCTAATAATGGTTGCTTGCAGACTTGTTGAAAGCGAGATGTTGAAAAAAAAATGCTTGTATGCTTTTACTTTATTTAAATTAAAAATCAATAAAACATATTTTATGTAAACTATAAAAGTTTCCTAAGTTTAAATTAGAAGTGAATTAAAGTTTTTCTCCTTTAATTCACTTCTTCATATTATATTAGATACACTGATTTATGAGGACCAAAAAATGACAATATGTTCAGTAAACTAGAGACACTCAGAGTTTACTTGGCATAAAAATTAAAACCTGGTTACATCATTCGAGAGAGTTCGAGACTTCAAAGCAAAGCTGATAGAGAAACAATTTTTACTGTTTTTGAAAAAAACTTTACTTAATTATTTCAGTCCTAAATAATTTTTGTGTCTGTAATAGTATTTTTTTCTTGATAAAGTCATAAGGATACAAAAATAAGGGAATAAAAACTTAAGTTGCCTACTGCTTTATTGTTTGCTTTATTGCCTATTGCTTTTTTATGTAGCAGGTTTCCTTATAAATAATAAAAATTAGAGTTACAGTAATGAAAGCAAAGTTTAATTTTTTCCTTCTGATCATTAAGAATACATGAAAAATTCTTTCTTGACTAATTTTCTTAAAACAAAGCAGGTTTTAAAATGTTTAGTAAAAGAACACTCTACAAAAAAAAGTAATTCAAATTTCACATAAAAAATATTCTGTATTTGAAAATAAGAAATTCTAACGAAAGATCTTTTCTTTTTTTAAGCCTTTAATCTAAAGATGCTTGTAGTCTAGCACACAACTAAAAAGTTGCTTTCCATAGTTAAGATTGTCCATATTTTTTTTGTATCTTGTCCAGTGAGAGATGAAGACTGAATGAGGTACCTTAGATGATTGCTCACTATAACAACCTAGTGCCCAGTGTTTTAAATTTTGATGAACTCTTTGTTGTGGTGGAAAACAATGTGAACTTTTGGAATCACTGTGGCCATTGATTAGAACCTCAAAGTCTGGGGACAGATTGTCTTCAAAGCAAGAACCATCAATGTTTGAAATCCTTGATGAATTTCATGGCAGGAAAAAATTGATGTTTGGTCACAAGGTCACTCAAAAAATTGTAGAGAAGCTTTCAGCAAACTCTCCACCGTGTGAGTTAGAAGGCCACTCACTGGCTCCATTCAGGTACTTCTTTGCTCAGACAGACTGATGCAATGTGCAAACTTGGTTGTGGAGTTGTCTTTTTTTGAAACATCATAAATAATGTTGAGAGTATGGGGTTCTTTTCTGAGTTTTTACAAATGGGTCCAGAAGTGAAAAATATCTGTCTTCAAACCTCTGCTCTGATCAGTCTTTAAGTTCCTTTAGATGAGGCAACTTTTTTGCTCAATGCAAAAAAGTTGCAGATACAGCCAGTTTTTCTCTCACTTTAGAGTCAATCTGTACCATTTTTTTCAAAATTTCAAATATTGAACCTTTTGTACAGTAATGAGGAAACCTTTTTTGAGCATTGTCAGGTAAAGAGAGTAGCTTTTCACTAGCCTGGGAAAAACTTGGTGGAGTGCTACTTGGTTTATGATGCAATAGGGGGAGCCTGATTGTGTTTTGACCTGCCAACTTGACATATAAAGCATGAACAGTCAGCAGACATTTTATGATCTTGATGCTTTGAAAGTTGTACAGACTGAGGAGCTCACAGCTGATTTAACCAGTGTCTAGTTTTTGCTAACTTGTTCTGCAAGAGTTACAATTTCTTGTTTGAGAAGGAAGCAGAGACTTGATTCCCACTTTCAGGGTTTTAAGTGGGTTACCGTTTTGCCAAACTTCATCATTAGTAATACCATGTTAGGAAGTCTAAAATTCTGTTTTGTTTGCTGGATAATAATGAAGAGCTTTATCAAGGTGAAGAGCTGAGTTACATTGAATTTGAAAAAAGTTACTTAGAAAAACTTGGAAACAACTTTTGAAAAAAATGTATATATACAATAATACTAAATTTGCTGCAAATCTCCAAAATAAAGTACATGAAATAAATGTGAAAGAGTAAATACGTGATTTTTTTTCAGTGGTTGTAATAATATATTTTTAATATTGTTTGTATTTTGTTGGCAACATGTAATGATTTCATAAAAAGATTTTAGTTTTCCCATTTAACATAAAAAAATTTTTAAAAACGACAAAAGAAGATGTTAAAAAAATATTTAGCAACAATTCAGTAGCAAAAAACCACCACGAAAACTAATGTTCAAAACTTTATTAGATACCCACAGAAATAAATTAATTTCTTTGAAATATTTTATATTAATGTATTAAAATTAATACTTAGTTCCCAATAAAAGTCAATAACCTTTTTTTAGTTGTTTTTCTGCTTTCGGACTTTTTTCGCATACACGCTTTATTTCAACAAAAAATAAATTTTAAATCTATAAAGTAATAATAGAACATTTCAAAGGCACTGGAAACAAAAATAACTATTGCCTTATTTGCATTCCAAAACTTAATGGCTTATTCAAGATCTTGATTTTAAAATTATTTTTCAAGTAAAATAAAAGTTGGTCTCTTACAAGCACATAATGGAAAAATTAGAGTTGACTTAAGAAATCGGAACAAAAAAACCCTTATTTTTGGGCCCATCCAGCCCTTAATGTGGGAGCAACGAGTTTATAAAATATTTTCTTTACTATTTTTATCTAAATTTATATTCATCAACAAATTTCGAATTTCATGCAAAAATCTCTTAGTGCTGAGTCTTTATGACTATGCAAAGTTTACAGCCCCCCTCCCCAAATTGAGGGGGTTAAAACTTTATATGATCATAATTTTTAAAAAATAAGATATTTAGAAGAGGGCTTACAAGAGGGATATACAAGATATAGGATATACAAGAGGGTTTTTTTTGTTCCCAAACTCAAGTCAACACAATTCTTTGCAAAACATTCTCATTTGACATAAGCATGAACATACAAAAGTTTGAAGTTTGCACAACCCCTGTATTCTTGCCTTCTGAATAAACGCGGGGTATCTTAATAATTGAAAAGGTCGGAATTTTAAAAAAGCTAAAAACACAAAAACACTAGAAGAAAATTATTAAACTCAGAAGAACAACCTAATCTTTTTTTGAAATTAAAAAAAAATATCAAAAAATAAAAAAATCTAAAACAAGTTTTGAATTTTTCTTTGTTTGGATCTGTTTCTTCATACTGTGGGGCGCAATATTATATTGTTTTTTGATAATGGCAACAAAGAATATTTATCCTTCTCTCCACAAACAAACATTCTTGACATTTTAAATAGCTTCAGCAAATGAAATTAACACTGACTAATAGTTTTCGAGAAACATTTTAGAAAGTTAATTCACACTTTATAACAAAAGAAATATCATTTATGAAAAGAATTCTTCTAAACAAATGCACTTAAAATGAAAAGAAATTTAAAATTTAAAATCTAAAAAAACTTAAAATGAAAAGTTTTTTGGTTGGTTCTTATTATTTTTATCTATGATGGAGAGACTTACTTTTGAGTAAAGAAAAAATTTATTTATCAAAGTAAAAAAATAACGAAACCATTTTTTTCATGCTTCGAAATAGATAAACGAGGGAAGGGAGGAAGAGAAAGGGGTCCTAATAAGCTCCAGGGAAGGGGGAGGTGTCAGAAAAATAATGAAAAACTAATAAGAATCTTTGCCCCACCCATTTCTTTATTCAGCAGGCGAGAGTAAGTGGCAAAACTCAAACATCTAAAAATCTAGTTTACACCTCTGAACTCGTAATATATTTTTAATGGCATACACATATACAATATATATGTAGAATGTATTTATATTGTATTAAATACATATTTACCTCTGTGAATTAATTTATTAAACAGCTATACTTACCTTGTTTCTGAAGAATTTTAACCAAGATATCAATTACTATAAATGCACCAGTTCGCCCAACTCCAGAACTAATAAAGTAAATTTAAAAAAGATAACAAAAATGAAAATATGTAAAAACCTTGGTTGCTTTGTAATGAATAAAAATGGGGAATAAATTGGATACAGAAATTAAAAAGTACAAACAAAAATAGATTTATCAATCAAAAATTTCTAAATTAAAAAAGCTATTATATAAATATAAACAAAAAATAAATATAAATTTAAACAAATTGTAAACTTTTATCCAGAAAAGTTTGATTATTACTAATGAATTTACTTAATAGATTTTTAAAAACAAATTTTTCTTTTATAATATACTAATCTACTAACTTTACTGAATACTTTACTTCATTTCTTTCTTTTTTTATAACCATTTCAGTAAAAATCATTGCTGTAAAACAAACCTAATTGTTTAATATACTTTATCATTATTAAAAAGCTGTGAAAAAGGTGCACAACGAATTCAAAAAAAAAAGATTTTAAAGCCCAGAATTTTAACATCATAACTACAGATTTAAATTTATACATTTATTAATATTTGTTTAAATAGTAATAAATGTAAACAATATACTGGTAAATACAGAAAGTACAATCACAAAAAGTACAACAGAGTTGATAAAATAAAGAAAAAAATGTTAATGAAAAAGTATTATTGTCCAAAATGAGTTTTATGTCACCCTTGCATCATTATCCTAATATCCTATATGTACATATCTCAATTAATAAAAAGAAAAGACAAGAAGAAAAGAAAAAGGATATACTCTAAAGGAAAAAGGATATACTAAAAAGGATATACTCAAAAGGATATACTCTAAGGATATACTCTAAGAATATACTCTAGCAATGGCTATCAATCAAGCAGTATACATAGCAATGGTCAGGTTCTAAAAATTTTGAACTTTATATTGAATGTGCAAAATATTGACAGAGTGTTCACTCATTCAAGTAAATCTGATAATAAGTTTTACTCAATACTCTGCAACAACAATAAATTGTATTTATAAATTTAAAAAAAATTGAAGTCATTGTTGTTTAAATATGCCACATAATTTGTTTACTATTTATCTAATATTTAATATCAAGATTCAAATATACTTACCAAAAAAATATGCAAGGAAACATATTTTTGGTTACATCTTTTTCTTTTTCAATATTTTTTTATTTTTCCCTTACTGTGCTTTTCATTACCTTTTTCTTCAACCCTCCTTACCTGATTTTGCATAGTTTTTAATTCAATTCAAAAAATTTAAGCTACTATTTTAAAAACAAAAATTTTTATTTTTAAAAAAGATATTTTGAAAAAAAAAAAAATTTCTGTAATAAAATTTTTTATTATTGTTCTAAATTAAACTTGAAAATCTTTTAACTTTCTATGAAACAATATCAAGTTTTGGAAGAAATAGTTTCTATGGATATCCTCCCCCCCCCCTAACCTGTCTAAATTTTATTGAAATAAGCTTAATAAAAAATTTATTAACCATCACTTCAACATCAATTTCAACATCACTTGCCTGCAATGAATAATTATAGGACCTGGATAATTACTGTATTTCTGTTTTAAGTTTATGTCATGTAATATTCCTATAACTGAGCCAACATTTGATGGTATACCATGCTCAGGCCAGCCAATATATTGATAATGATATATTGAGTTTGCTTCTTCTTCATTCTTTAAGTGAAATGAATACTTTATTTAAATACTATTAGAAAAAATATACTAATGTTATAAAAAAAGTATATAATTAAAAGAATAATCATGTTTAAAAAATATATAACCTCCTCTTCGTTTATTAACTTTAATTCTCTGTATATGAAATGTGGAGTTTCTAACTCTTCAATATTACTGATATGAAAATTGTTATACTGGATTGTGCAATTAATATCTGGCCAGTACTTTGCGCACCGACTCTAAAAATTTAAATGTATTAAACTTTTATCATTTATATATGCAAAAAAAAAAACCTTTATCAAAAGGAGTTACAAGTACATGTATATAAATTTATATAAATAATTACCTTGCCTTTTTCAATTTCTCTGGTGACCATAAGTATTACTCTGCTATTTTCCTGATAAACCATTCTCCAAAAATCATAAATAGTTTCTTCAAGACAACCTTGTGTTGCGATATATTCATGTTCACTTTCTCCCTGAAAAAAATATATCTACTCTTTAACAATATATACAAGCATTCTCAGGAAAGACATGCTGCCGTATGCCTTATATGACCACGCCTATAATATTTTATTTTGACAACTTAGCCATGGCTCTTTGCATGTATTGAAAATTCAAGCGTATAAAAATGCACTGAATAAACAAATGTAAAACTTAACTAAAAATAAAATAAATAAACCTTAAACTAAAGATAAAATAAGAAAAAATAATTAAAAAATATATATATATAAAACTAAACTAAAAATCTTAACAAATGATAAAATAAATAAAAAGTAAACCAGATAAAATGAAAATATAAATTTAAATTGTCTTTAATTTAATTTACTTCATGGAATTCAGAAAAGATCGAGGTTTCAAAGTTATTTAATCTGAGCTTAATTACTTCGAAACTTAATTATTTAAAATTTTGAAACTTTGATATTTTCTAATATCTACAAAGCAAATAAAACATTAAAAAAATGATTCATTAAAAGGATTTGAACACTTATCCAATGCCGAACTTACAGTTGCCCCTCATAAATGTAACCGCATAAATTTAACCTAAGCGCTACACTGACGTAGTGATAGAAGAGAAATTATTATGTTGAAACTATTAATTCTTTTATTTTAGATTATTTAGATTTAAACTATTCTCATTCTCTTTTATTTTATAATTCCAGGGCTCAAATTAAGTGTCATCGTGGCATAGCAAGGATCATTACTGAAAGTTAAACGTAGATCTAGCTACAGTAACAATATCAGATTTAGAAGAAAGTGCAAGCGAGGAAGAAAGTTTTATTTAAAACATAAATGTTTTGAATAGTTAATTATATTTTGTTTTTTAAAAATAGTTATTAGGAACTTTCTATAGCAAACATTAAACCAGTGATTATTGCAAACATTAAATGAAAAATTAAATTAAAAGAAACAAATTGATATATATATATATATATATATATATATATATATATATATATATATATCTTAACATCTTTTTTAATTTTAAGCTTTGTTTTTGAACAGTTTTGTCTGTGTTAGCTAATGCAGTTTTTTAAGTTGTATTGCATAAGTTTCAAAAGTGTTTTTTTCCATATACTTCTGTTTTTTTCCATATACTTTTATAACAAGAATATTACTCATTGATAATTAAAACTGTTTGTAGAAAATAATTTTCAAATTTGATTGGATTAATTGGATAATGACAGAACAAAAAAAATAAATATTGTTTTTAAATAGACAATAAGATTTATATCTATATCCGATATTTCTGATAACAATTTTAAATCAGAAAATGCTTAGAGATAAAATAATTTAGACCTAGATTGAGCAGCTCAGTTTTCACTTTATCCAGAAAATCATTAATTAATTAACATTAGTATAGCAGCTTAAACAAGAGTTGGGTGATTTTGATTGTCTTGATCAAAAAAGTACAATTATTTTTAGCACAAAAGCTTTGCTTCTTGGAAATTGAGAATATTTAATTAAAATTTAATTTGTTAATTAAAATTGAAAAAAGTAAAATGACTACTGGTATAAAATATTTCTTTTATTTATTATTTAAATATTTTCTTAATTAAATAAGATTTCTTAATAATCAAGAGAAACAAAAAACTGAAACAAAATATAGATATAGTTTTTTTAAATAATATTTCCTTTATACTAATAATTTTAACAACAAATTTAACATTTCTAATGTTTTTTTGCGTCAATCTTACTTAGATATAGCATGTTTTTGCGCAAATATGACATTAGTATCATGTTAAGTATCATGTTAAGTATCATGTTAAGTTTTTACTTTAATTTTTTAAACTTCATGTTAAGTAAAAATAATTATTAAAAAAGATATTGTAATAGTATTAAATACTTTACTTGCTCATTACATTATAACTTGCTCATTACACATAACTGCAACTTAAACTTTAAATTATAACTTAAGTTGTAAACTATAACAATAACTTACCCTATTTTAAACTCCGCCTTATGAGAAAAATATAAGATTATATTTAAATATGAGAAATATGATAAATTTTTTGAAAAAAATCTGCTCCTACCCCCTTAATGTATTCTATATAAAGAATAAAAAAATACAAAAACACTGTTTTAAAATTTTTTAAAAAAAAGTATTTTAAGGGAATGCTCAATACCCTTAAAGGGATCCCCAAATGCAGAGACAAGTTGTGTTTTTATTAAAGAAAATGTTTATAAAAAATGTTTGGGTTAAATTTTTTTGATTAAAACTAAATAATGAATGCACACCATTAGTTTTAAAATTCACATTTTAGTTTAAGCTTGCCGTCTTTATTTTTTTGGTTCTCTGAGTCTGTATAATGTTAGCCACAATCTGCAGACTTAATAATTTATTTCATGCGTGTTTTATTTATAACAGTTTCAATAAATGAAGTCATCGCAACGCATAGCGTTTTTTGTTGTTGTTTTTTTAAAGATATAAGTATTTTTTCTCCTACAATCAGAAAATCAAATATTTGTATAATTTTTCAGTGAATCAAAAAAAATATTTGTGATTTAGTAAAAAATCATACAAATATATATTTTTTATATTTATAATTTCTTTTTTTTTTACTTGTTTTATCATTACTTTGTTTTAGAAGCCAGGACAAAATTGTACATATTTTGTGATTATTAGAGTTTGCAGGCAAAGAAAAAATAAAGGCAGTATGATGCGGTTTCTCGTTTTAAATTTATTTCATATGGTTTAATAGTGTTGTTCATTTTATGTTTAATTTACATTTAGTTTATATAGTTTAACTCTTTCACTACTGCAAGTCACTGGTAGCAGCTTTCACAATTTATCTTGTTTTGTAAATAAATTTTTATTCCAAACACATTAATTAATTCTCTACATAATCAAGAACAAATAAGAACTATATTGTGTAACTTTCACAAAACAAAAAATCTTTTGACAAAAAAGAGTTTTCACAAAGTTAAAGAATCTTGAATAATCCTTCATTAAAAAAATTCTTTAAATTTAGTTAAAAAATAAAACAGCGTAAACTCTGTAAAATTTAACTTGTAGAAGTGTTAAGTATTTAGTTAAGTAATTACCAAAGTCTTTTGAAGAAAAAATATTCTTTTTATTCATTAAGTGAGTTTTGTTTCGGACTTAATGTTTTAGTTACTATTTATAAAAAACAATGGTTTTAAGCACTTTGCATTTCTTATTGTTCAATGATATGTGTTACAAACTTAGTTAATTATAAAAGTTTTTATGGAATTTATTAAAACGTTATTCAATTAACATGATTTGGTGATTGTGGCAAAAATAATAATACGATATCTTGAAAGAAAACATTTATACGATGATGTCATATCCTGAAACTGTTATGAATTAAACACGCATGAAATAAATTATCAAGTCTGCAGATTGCGACTAACATTATACAGAACCAAAATAAAATGGAGACCGCAAGCTTCGACTAAAAAGTGAATTAAAACTAATGGTGCCCATTCATTTTTACTTTCAATTCTTTTGAGTACCAGGTGACAAACTTTTAAAGAATTTTTTTTTTAATATAATTAAGGACCCACCAGATGTTTAAGGGTCTTGAGCAACCCCTAAATTTTTTTTTCAATTTTTAATAAATATATATATATATATATATATATATATATATATATATATATATATATATATATATATATATATATATATATATATATATATATATATATATATATATATATATAATATATAGAAAACATAATGTCTAAATAATAATAAAAATAACAAAATAAAACTATAAGTTAATTATTTAATCTAACATTCTTTATGAAACATCAAATTCTTCTACTCACATCAATATAAGAAGCATTGATATAATCACTTTCACCTAACAGGATAACCCTGGTATGATCAACTAAAAGCAAATTATAAGAAAATTTATATATTTCATCAGAGTTTACTCCCTGTATGATTAGTTATTATTTTCAAATACACACTCAATTTTAAAAGTCTTATGTGATATAAAATTTATAACAAACTTGTATAACAAACTTAACAAATAATATTTTTTGTACAAAAAACAATGAAAAATTCAACCTGTTACAAAACCTGTTCAATCAACTTAAACCAATTTAAAGAACACATTTTTTTTTTTAATTTATAGTTGGGTGTTTCTAAGTAATTTGTTCTCCTTTTTCAGTTTTTTTTTAAGTCTTTCTGCTCTGTCTTTTGGCCAATGTAGATATATTTGAACTAATCTGTTTGCAGACAGCTAAATACAAGTATGGCTAGTCAAATACATACATATGAGATTAAGTATGTCTTGCCCTAATTGTTACATAAATTTATTTCAAGTTTTTCATGTAACTACAATTGAATCTATATTTGTTCATATACAAATATGTGTATATATATATATATATATATATACATATATATATATATATATATATATATATATATATATATATATATATATATATATATATATATATATGTATATATAAACGCATAAACTTAATCTTATTTCAACTTATTTATAAATAAGTAAACTAACATTCGCAAAAAAAAAATATCAATAAACATCATTAATAGTTTAAACAAATGTTATTACTTTATTTAGTTCACAAACAAAACAAAAATTTCAATAAATGATGTATTATATAAATAAATTGTAATTAAAAAAAGTTGCATTAAAAACTTATTTAAGTGATCACCTTTCACTTTATTAAATAGTCAGACATGTTTCTGAAAAACTTAACTTATGTCATGCATAATTTGTAACCAACCAAGTTTTTCGAACCTTTTTTAGATTTAAAAACTATGATATCACATGATATTATTGGGTGAACACATAAAAATTCAGTCAACTTTAAATTAAGATTTCTCTAAAACCATAAATGCTTTTAATTAAAATATTTTTAATATTAAATGTGTTTACATCATTTAGGGTTTCAACTTAATTTTAGGGGGCTTGATGAGCTTTTTGGCAAGAGATCAAATTTTATAGTGGGTAGATGCCATCATTTTGCAAATTTTTTTATTTTTCTAATTATTAGTAGCATTAATCCACCTTTTCTGGAAGTCCTTTTTATTTTTTTTTACTATACCTGTGTTGCAAAGAACTCCTTTAACTATTGCCCAAAAATCTTGCGCTTTTCAGGACGATTTGGAGGATTTACATCTTTAGGAACAATTTTTACATTACTATATTTGCACCACTGTAGAACTTTTTTAGAATAGTGAGATCGAGCCAAAAGAGACATTAGTGTTTTTTTTAATAAATGGCAAGTCTTTTTTGGAGGTATTCTTTGATGTAGAGATCGGCAGTCAAGGTTTTCTAAGTGACAAAACAAGAGGACTGTATACCACAGCTACAAATTCTTTGCCACACCAGGAACTTGAATGTAAATTTTTTTTGTCTAATATATTTTAATTGATTATCAAGAAATTTTTTTTTGCTCTCATAAAATTGTTGACAAGTAAGTTGTGAAAAATCTGCCTTGCAATATGTGCCTTCCTCTTCAATTATGCAAATACTGCCATTATTTTAACCAACTTCTTTGCACATTGAATTCCTTTAATTTCACTATTTAAGCTTCTCTTAGGTCTATTTTTTTTATGAAATACTTTAATTCCAGCACTTTTTTGATATAAGAATGCTAAGTCTTGAATTTTCTAAATCTTGCTGTGACTGGTTTGGATTTCTTGCTATTGAACTGAGAATCTACTTTACCTTACCGTATTTTCGAAAAGTTTTCTTTCTTCCACTTCCAGGTTTTCTTTCAAAGCTTTGAGTAGTCTTAAACTTATTTATAATATCTATGAATGTAGATTTTGGGACAATTTTATGTTTAGCAATCAGTCCATGAAGTCCATGGAATTTTGCAAAAAAAAAATCACATACTTTTTATGTACTTCAATTTGTTTCCCAAACATTTTGCAAACCATTGATTTGTAAACAAAAGTTTATCAACATAATTAAATATATGAAAGAAAGGTTTAATTAAAAAAATGAAATAAATAAAAAAACATTTGTGGTTTTAGAGAAATCTCAATTTAAAGTTGACCAGATTTTTCTGTATCTACCCGATAATACATACATACAATGGTGCATGCATACATACATGTTTTTTATATAGAATTTAGACGTTTTCCTATAATATAATTCTATAATAATAAACTATATTATCGGCATAAAAATGTTTATTACATTATTAAAAAAAACATCAAAATTTTATATAAGATTTTTTTTAAAATTAACAAAATAATTCATTTTCAATAATTCTTTAGGTTGAATGCAAATCAGAACAGTATTTTGGGACAGAAGGAGCATTAGGTTTAGAAGTTATACCATCAAATTCCATCGGATTGTTATAAAAAAAAGACATTTTACAAAAATATTTATCTGTCTTGTTTTTAAATGTAAAGTATTGAGAGAAAAAGAAATTAAAAATATAAACAGAAACTAGATTTGAAATGGCTACCTACAAGGAACAATATTTTTAAATCTATTTTTATGTTTATTTTCTGCACTCAATCCAATATTTCGACTGTAGCGATGTTTACACTCTTGCTGTTGTAATTGCTAAATTATAAAAAGTATAACTTAATAATATAACCTAATAAAACTTTTATATATGTAAATCATAAAGTGAATAAACTTTTATATGCATGAATTATTTGGGCCAAAAAGAATAAACTTGTATTTGTGTGACATATAACATTATGAGGTATACAACATTATATACTCACAACATCATACACTAAAAATATACAAGAACTGTAAGAAATAATTTGTATAGAGAACAGACTATTAACAAAATAAAAAGAAAAAAAAAACAATTTGAATTATATGAAACTATAGAAAATATTACACCACAGTAATAAATACTGATAGCAATGTCAACCACAACGATCTCCTTGCAAATAGTTACATGTAATTTATTACAACATAACACATGCCTTCCTTCCTCGTTAAGCTTTTACATTTCAGACAAAAGCTAAATCGAGTCTGACTTAAAATATGCCTAAAAGCTCTTGAATGAAAAAAATCCTAGAGAAAGTGACTTAATAAATAAAATACACTAAAATTAAAAATACACTATAGTCCCAAAATATAATAAACTTGAAAAACCTTTGTTACCACAAAACTGTTTTAACCTCACACAAACATTTGTGGTCTTCAAAGATACTTTTCATCCATAAAATCTTACCTCTAGCTAAATTCAACAGACCTATATGCTATTTGTAAGAAGTAGTTTAAATTTATTTTTATCATTGGATAGTAATTTTGATGACTACCATCCTAAGATTTACATAAAATAATAGCCATCAATATTCAAGATCAACAACAGTCATTTACCCTGATGGTTAATACTCTTAATAAATCTAAACCACTTACTTTGATTTGAATCCTCATTGAGTTTTTTATGGTCCTAGCTTATGGTTATGGTCCTATTTTTATGGTCCTAGCTTATGGTTTATAGCTTATGGTTAGTTTCTCATTGTTCTATTATAGGTGGTTTAGAACTATGACCTCACTAAAACCTTTATCTTATACTACTTCTAAACCCACCTTTAAAATTCTTACTACGGGCTTTAGCCCGTACTACGCTTTTAGTTGATAATTATTCATGATTTTCTTTATGATGGTCCAGTGGCTAATGATTTTTGCCATTTTGAATTTTGCCCTTACTAGTGTTAAGCAGTAATAAGCATGGAAGCTTTATTGGAAACCATGGATACTATTTATTAACTATTTGGAGAACAAACAACCTCCATGATTGTAAGAAATCAATGTAAAAAAGTATTGTCATGGTGGTGCCTAATGTTTTGGAGCAAACTGTATAAACTGCAACTTATAGCAGCACCATTATCAAAGTAAAAAAAAATTTGTAAAACCAGAATAGAAAACACTTTTTAAAATGAAAAATAAACAACAACAGAGAATAAAAGATTAAAAACCAAATATTAATCACACAAAAAAATGATAAAAATAAAGATAAAATACTTCAAATTCTTCCCAGAATCCATCTTTGCCTTGTATTACTGTATTAGCATCTTTTTGAAGCTCAACAACGCGATCACCAATTGAAGATGCTGTTATTTTTGTTGCATTGAATGGCTTAAAAAATTAACATCATTCATTAAACAAGTTTTTAGATTCATTAGCTATTAATTGTATGATCATATAATTGCACATTAAACTCAAAATAGTGTATTAAGTACAAACACAAAACAGGTGTATAAAAGATTTCAATAGTAATATATAATATAATAAGTTTCAATAGTGATATTTAATATAGATTTTAATAGTAGTCAAAATATTCTAGATAAAAAAATTTGTTGTAAAATAAAATGCATAAATAAACCAATGTTAAATATCATCTGAGATTTTTCTACTTTCTGGTTTTTAAGGTGCTGCAAGCAGACCTAAAAACCTTGTTACAGATCACAGCAGAAGATTTATTCAAAAGATTTTTGTTGTCTTCCTCAACATTTTAACTTTTATAACCAGAGTGGGCATTGAACCTATGACTTTTTGAGTTTGGCATCAGCACTCTAACTACTGTGCAATGGCTGCTCTAAGCCATTGCTCAGTAGGTACGCATTCACAATTTAATCTGAATTTTAATTAAAAATAATTAAAAAGAAATCAAATTGTAATTATCTATATATGGTAAAAGATTTTCACCATTTACAAATAATTACATTTATGTAACTTACAAGACCAACAAGATTTTTTAAAGAAAAAAAAATTCTATATAAATTATATATATATAACAACAAATACATAAAAACAGAAATCCTTAAACTTATATACCTTTAAAATATATATATATATATATATATATATATATATATATATATATATATATATATATATATATATATATATATACATATATATATATATATATATATATATATATATATATATATATATATATATATATATATATATATATATATATATATATATATATATATATATATATAATCTTCCCTAAATATTAATAGTCCAGATGTTCTGTTTGTTACTATTTGTTGTTAGTTACTTATTGTAATTACGGTTCTGTATTTTGTAAAATACACGCTTTCTTAGTTTCTAGAATTTTCTTAACCGCGTGTTTCATGGTAGGAGTTCAAAATGTCCAGGTAGACATTAAGTAGATAATGTTTAGTAGCTTAAAATTATAGAAAATATAAAATCTTTTTAAAATTTTATAAGTAATTAATTTATTGTAATCTTTTTTAAATTGTACTTTTAAATTTAAAGCTTCGTGTTATAGATGTTATTATTGAAAGTACAGATTACTATAATTCTTAGATGGTGTCTACCGTTAAAAGATTTATGGGTAGTTTCATGTTTTCATATGCATTAAATAATTGGGATAAAAGCCATGACAACATTTTGTTATAAATAGAATTCATCTATAGTATTGTTAATACTTTTGCTCTTTGAAAAAAAAATGTTTCTGGCTTTTCAATAAATATATAATAATTTG